AAGTGTAGATATACTTCTAGCTAGGTAAATCCTAGCCATTCATGTCAACAATCTATGCCTACAAAGATAGGCTTGATCCTAGCCTTCCATTCACCATCATGCCATCATGATGTGTGGTTCGGATTGAAACACCTTTATTCTCTATTTATTCCAAAATTTACTCCAAATTTTCCTTTTATATAAATGCCTATGCTCTTTTCAAATGTCAAGTTCGAAATAAGTTTAGGGGCATATCCTTGATGTAATTAGGCACATTTTCCAGCAAAAATACAAAACTAAAATCTTCCCTCTATTTTGAAAGAGCACGTGTAGCCAACATATGGTGCAACATGTGTGAGTTAGTTAAGTACAAATTTACAATTGTCCTCAGGATTTCAACTGAAATATCAAACTTGATACCACTTCTAGAAGGGCTCATACATGTGCACAAAACTCAATTTTCACACAAAAACATGTTCCTAAATTCCAAAAATCAATCTCATAATAAAACACACCCCTTAATGTAACAAATGTCAAACTGACAAGTGGGTCCATGGGGGCTGATGTCACCCCCACGTAACCTCCACATGGGTCTGACGTGGACGCCCCCATGACCCACGTAGACACCCATTAGCCATTTCGGTATCCCATGCTAGTCCCCAAGGTATGCCCAAACAATTCCAAAAAATACATTTTCTTACTCAAAAAAATCAAGAAAAATCTCCAAAAATTCCCAAAGGGCCTATTTGATAATTGGAAGGTAAATGTCCCATGGAAATTAGAAGTTCTTCTTTACTGAGAAGAAAGAAGTTATTTAAGGAAGTTCTAAGTGTATATATTTGATAACCTGCTGAAATGTTAACGAAGTTCTAGGTACATGTGTTTGACAACCAATTGGAATAGAAAGTCATGTTTATTGAAGTATTATTTTTACACTAAACATAAAACAATATATAATATATATTGTATTGTAAATATCTATTGCATACATAAACTATTATATAACACAATATATTATATTTTATATTATAATGTAAAATATAGTCCACCTGAACCTGGCCAATCCAAGCTGAATTTTGATAGTTAATCCATCGGCGACCCGTGGCTAGCAAGTATAGGGGGCATCATCAGAGAAACTGACAGCTCCATGCTTTTTTATTTCTCTAAATCTATCTGCCATGCTGACTCCACCACTGCGGAGGCTCTTGTGCTCCTTGAAAGGTCATAGGAACTTCAATCCTAATTGTACATTTTCGGCTATCGAGAGCAACTCTAAAAACGGTAATGCCTGGTCATCACGTTCCTCCGCCACGTTTTTGACAAAATCTTCCATATCTCCAGGGCAATGCATGTCTTATGGAGATAGACTTGGAGTGAGGCAAATTCGATAGCCAACACCCTCGCTGAAGTCAACTCAAGACGACTCTCATGGAACCTTTTTGGCACCTTTTTGAGCATTTGGTTCCTCACTTTTTGGTATCATTTATCTACAATATAGTTAGTTTGTTGGATGTATAGCATTTTTTGAGATATCACTCATCTGTGGGGTTTTGTATAGAGCACCTAGGCTGTGAGCTCCTCTGCCAAGTTTTTGATGAAATCTTCCATATGTGTAGGGCTACGCACGTTTTGTGGAGATAGACTTGGTGTGAGGCAAATTCAATAGCCAACACTCTCGCTTAAGTAGGAGCAACTCAATATGACTCTCATGGAACCTTTTTGACTCCTTTTTGAGCTTTCGGTTCCTCATGTTTTACATCATTTATCTACAATACAGTAAGTTTGTTGGATGTGTAACATTTTTTGAGATGCCACCCGTCCGCAAGGTTTCGTATAGAGCACCTAGGCTGTGGGCTGCCTATTTTTTGCACTTTATACACTCTCACTTAATCTAAACAACAAGAGTTTAAAAAAAAAACAGTTTAGTGTATTGTATGAGTTGTTTGTGATCCATTTGGGTGAAAATATCATGATCAAACTTTGTGTTTTGCTATCATGCAATCTTTCTTGGATTATTTTATAATCATGTTATTGAATATTTCATGAAAGCTTCATAACTAATAACTGCTGAATAAGGGAGTCAGAACAGGCCATATTTGGGCCAATTTTCTTTAACTTTTGGTCCAAGAGAGCCGGAACCATGGCCACCAAGTCCCCCTTGAATGCAGACTGAGAAGCCATAAATTTGATAGGACTAACTACATTACTTTGGAAAGGAAGTGTCCTATGTGCTATGAGGAAAAGGTGGCCTCAGTCATTGTTCACCACCACCACTGCAAAGATCCGTTGCATCTCAGCCTACAAGGGATGCATATACATCGCAGCTCACAAGGGAGCAAAGAAATGCGAGCGAAGTCATCTCATGTTGGCTACAGTGCAAGCCTCCTATGTTATGGAGTTCGACACTATTTCCCTTGCCAAAGATGTTCATGAGAGGGTTGAGGAGTTTGCTACTCCATTCCTTACTAAGAAAGACCCTAGCCATAAAAAGATTCATGGATTTCAAGATGAAGGCACACCCATATCCACCCATCCGCTACAATTCCAAGCCCTTGCTTATGGGATTGAGGAGGCCGGTGTGCATCTCCAGACACGTCATTTGCCACTTGATCAACTTCCTACCATCGTTGGGAGAGTTTGAGGTCCTCTATTACAGCGAGAGACTCCTCCGTCCACCTAGAAGAGCTCATAGTCCCCCTGAAAGCTGAAGAGGAGAGGAGGCATGTTAAGCATCACAATACTCAACAACATAATGTATATGTTGCTCACTCAAAGCCGTCTAAGCCTAATAAGAACAAGGGTAAGGAAAAGAAAGGGAAAATAATAGTTACCAAAATTCAGAGAGGCAAACTAAGGGCACAGATAAGAAGGAGAATTTCCATAAGACCTAACAAAGGCTACGGTAAAAGGATCAAAAAATCTGAAGTGCTCCAATTGTAACAAGATGGGCCACATAGCTAGATTTTGTATGTCCAAGCCTCAAACCGATGGGGTTAATGGGAATTCAAATGGTGAGAAAAACGAGTATTCAGGTATGGTGTACAAAACTCTCATGGTCGGTCCAAGAGGACCTTGTGGTCTTTTAATTCAGGCTCAAATCACTCACACCATAGAGGGCTATTGATCGTTTAGTGAGATTAAGACCGGATAGAAATATTTCTTTATGGGGACTAACCAGAGGACCATACCATGATCTCAAAGCAAACCCTCTATGCTCTTCAAATAAGGAAAAGCTTGTTCTTAGTCTCCATATTGGCCTTAACTGGATGTTCTACAACTTTTGTGGGCAATATTATTGAAATTAAGGATGGGGTGGACTGCCAAACCATTATGAGCAAAACACTTATAAATGAGCTCTACATCATCCAAGGAGTAAACACTCCACTTGCTTGTGCCTTGTAATTAAAAAGGAAATCTTATGCTATGGCACAAGAGGCACATTATCTTTAATAGGACTCCCACTAGAGCGGCCTCATGTCGTTCCTAAACTTAGTCACTTGAAAATATGGGGTTGTAGTGCTCATGTTTTGATCCCACCTCAAAATGGAACCAAGTCAGATCCTAAAACAATCAAGCTTGTCTTCATAGGTTATTGTCCACATGGTCAAGGTTTTCGATTCTTCGATACAAACAATTATTCCAAGAAGAGCAAAGAAGATAAAAGAAGACCTACACAAATGATGATGATCTTAACTATGAGCCTTGTACACATGAGGAAGCAATAAAGAGCCCCCAAAATAATAAACAATGGTTAGAACCCACTAATGAAGAGACAAGCTCTAATAGAAATGATCAAATTTCTTTAGAAATTCAAGATCAAAATGTGTGGAAATGCTGCAAATCTGCCGTTGTTTTTCAGCAGCAGAAAACATATTAGAAAATCAAGAATGATGATGATTTGAATCTAATGCAGATCAAGAGTTAGTTGGTTCAAAATTTTAATTTTATTTTTCTCAATTTTATTTTTAGAGATGTGGGTAGACTTTTTTTTTTTTTTGGGTTAATTGTTAGAAATAGGATTAGTCTGTGTTCTTCGGCTTAGTTTGATAAGCCTGTTTTTTATGAGTCTATTTTTTGTTATGCGTTGTTTTAGGAAGGCTTATTGGTAAGAGGCTATTTACCATTTAGAATGAGAGTTGAAGGAAGCTAATCTCTTATCCATGGCTAGGGATGTGAGATAATAGAAAATATTTTGAAAAGGTAGTTATCTTTTAGTTATAGTAAGGAAAGGCCCACTTTTTGAAAAGTGCTGTGGATAGGAGTTGCAATAGTTGTGGAATAGGTAAATAGTCTTTTAGTAGTTATCTTTAGGTTTCTAAAAGCAAACTCCGTCAAAAGGGGTCAAGTCAATTGCAATGAGGTGGTTTTGGTTTTTTGAATGAAATAAAGTTTTAACTTAAAGAGAGGAAGAGCTTTGTCTCTTTGTTTTCTTTTTTGATGATATGTGCAGTCTCGGATCCCCACATTTGTGCTTTCTTCTTGTGGCTTTTTTCTCAGTTTTTGTTTCTATCTCTAAAATGCCATTGTATTTGCTGGTTGTTGGCTGCTGGTAAATTTCTAACTGCGTCAGATGGTATCAGAGCATCAATTCTTGTGGGATCATGGTGTTTATCAATAAGACATCATGGCTTGTAGATGTGGTCGATGGCCGGGTACCAAGAATGAGCAGCTCCAACAAGACCGAGACCTCCGAGATATAATAAGTAAAATAGTCTTTTAGTAGTTATATTTAGGTTTTGAAAACAAACTCCTCTAAAAGGTAGCACATCAATTGTAATAAGGTGGTTTTGGTTTTCTGAATGAAATAAAGTTTTAACTTAGAGAGAGGAAGAGGTTCATCTCTTTGTTTTCTTTTTTATGGTAAAGAGTAAATTAAATTGATAATTAAATAAACATGCAATTTGTCTTTGGATAGTGACAACATTTGGGTGATGACACAAATTTAGAGGTTTTTAGGAAAAATATTGTATAGTTTTTTTTTGCAAATCATGTTATATCTATGTTAAAAAATGCATCCCTACCTGTAGCTTGCAAACCAAAAGATGACCCTTCTATAGGAAGACATCTACTTAACCCCATGTCAGAGACTTTTGCATGTAAGGAATCATCTTCACTGCAGATCAAAACATTTTGAGGTTTCAGATCACGATGTACAATACCGAGTCGATGCAAATGTGCAACCCCAGATACTATTTCCCTACATAAAACAATTCAAATGAAAGAGTCATTAACATCAAAAACACTTTGGATGACAGAAAGAACAACGTAAAAAGATGTGGCTATGAGGAATTCAAGTCCATAAAATAAAAAAAAATTCTTGTTTTTTTCATTAATGAATATGAGTTCCACATACAAGTGCCACAAAACACTGATGTAAACGGAAATTAAAAACGTAAATACAACTAGGACCGTTCCTTTACTGCCAAAATAAATAAATACAATCCAGCAATAAAAAAAACAATCTTCCACTAACAATTTAAGTACAAGTGTTCTTGAAAAATCATAGTAAATATTGAAATATGATAGAAAAAATAAGCGTAAACAGCCAGGAAGACTTACTCAATTGTGCTAGGGTTACCTCCACAAGACTTGGTACACTCCACACTTGATTTCCTGACTGATGACACACTTTTGATTCTATTGGTCTTGCAGGAATTTCAAAGCCGGCAAGCTCATCTAGACAATACCTCTTAATCTAGGGTTTTAGAGAGCATTCAAGCCCAACTAGGGTACATATAAACCCTTTTAAAACATCTAGGTCATGCCCTAAAAGCACATCCCTTTTTTAAGGCTAGGCGTGCCTCTATCTCTCTTCAAACCCTAACTAGGGTTTTATTTGTTTTTATATGGCATGCCACCCACTATTAATTCTCATATAGGTGGCATGCTTCTATAAAGAGAGAGAAGTCAGACCTTTACAATGTGGAACAGAGAGAGAGAAATAGGAGAGAAAGAGAGGCTAGAGAATCGTAGAGAATGAGAAAAGGTTCACCGCCTTATATATGCATCAAGACCCCCCAAGGTATGCCTATCCAATGACTCACCTTGACCAATAAAGACTAAGAAAATCTGTGAGGTGAGAGAGAAAAAAAATCTTAGATATCCAACCTATAAATCAGCCATCATTATTTAGGGAGGCATATTAGGAACATTATTCCCTTAATATTTGACCCATATCCACTTCTATTCTAATTAGGATTCAATTAATTTTAAAAACCTTTTAGAGCTTCCTTTCATTAATTAACTTAAAACATCTTCAATTAAAATATAACAAAACATAAGAGAGAAGGGGGTGTGCCATCCCATGTGGGACATGTGGGCCCCATAGGCCCCATGCCCCACCCATGGAGTGTGGCACATGTGTGGAGCTGGATCCAAGGCCCACATGCCCTTCCTCATAAGAAAAATATCAAAAATACCTTTTTTGAGGAAATTTAAAGTATAAGATGATTTTAAAAATTTTAAAATGCACAAAAAATATTTTTAATACTAAAAAATAAACTATCTAGAAGTCGATTAGTACCAATGGGTCAAAATAAGTGCGTAAAACTCCACCCAACCCAACGACCATGATCTACAATTGTCTTCTCAAACCAACCCAATGAAACCTATGACCTACAGTCTCATGCAGGGGTCCATGATTGGCTCATCAAAACCAATAAACAAACAATTGAACCAAAATCCGGAAATATGGATTACAGTTTCCCTTAAGAGCAAGTCAAAGCACATGTCACTATAGTGTAAGGACCCTCTCCCTTTTTAGAGCTGCCTCCTAGTAATGCAACTTTATATGTACATAGTGTATAAGACGTTTGTTGAGCATTTAGCCCTTGCTCTCAAAGGCCTACATCTACATACAGGAGACCATATAGCTCTTCAGGCCTGTAAACCATCTCTGGGCATCTCTCCAACCTCAACAAGAGATGACATGACAAACCCTTTTTGGTAGTGCTACATGCCCAAGGGTAAGGGTTTTAGACATGACCAAGGTTATAAATCGCCTAACTCCAGGTCAGTCAACACACACTCCCACTGTAGTCCATAATCTATAATAAATGATTTTTACATGCTCTCACGGCTTTTAAAGGCCACAAAACCCCAACATCTCCCACTTAGCCATATAATCACTCCCTCTTAGTCTCTCTCAAGCCTATCTCATATACATGTTTGGCAAATACATTTTCCTCCTATTCTTTTACCAAACTATCCGCTAATATAGCCTCTGTCGAGATATAAGCAACTTCAATCTCTCCTGCTAAAATGTCATAGCGAATGTTGTAGAAGTCTGCCTTAATTTCCTCTAGAACCTTGGCTCTCATAAAATTTGCCAACTGGTTGTCACAGAAGAGTCTTACACATGGGCATTTCACTTGATCAAATTTGAGTTGATTCAGGAACTTCTTTAGCCTGACTGCTTCTTTTGCTGTGAGACAACAGGGCACATACTCTTACTCCATTCGAGAGTGCAATGATGTCCTGTTTCCTTGAGCACCAGGAACTTGCTCCACAGCAAACGTGAAGATATCACCAAATGTGGACTTCATCTCATCAAGATTGCCCTGATAGTCCCCATCTGCATATCCCTAAATTTGTATATCTGAGCCTCCTCCACAAGGGAGCATGTGACTCACCATTCCCGTTAAGTATCGTAAAAGTCCTATGATTGCCTTCTAGTGCTCTATGTTTGGTTTACTTTGGAACCTACTAATCATACTCATAGCAAATGATGATTCCGTTTTTTTCTCTGACATAGCGTATTAGTGGCCCAACTGCACTTCTATACAAAATTCTCTACATGGCTTGTTTTTTTCTTGTGTTGTGGGATACATGGCTAGACTTAGCTTGGTTTTTTTATTAATGGGGGTTAATATGGCTGACGGTTTTTCATTTCAAATCTTTCCAGGATTTTGTTACAGTACGTCTCTTGAGATTATTGAAGGTTCTCTCGCTTCTATTTCTAGTGACTTTGATTCCCAAACATATGATGCCTCTCTAAGATCTTCCATATCAAAATATTGTGGCAGGAAAACTTTTGCTTTCAACACAAGAGGCCTCGAGCTATTAGCAATTAGCATGTCATCCACATATAGAGAAATGAATACAACATCACTCCCACCAAACTTAACATATATACAATAATCTTCCTGGTTGGGTACAAAACTAGCTTTCAACAAGGTTTCTTGAAACTTAATGTACAATTGCCTTGATGCTTGTTTAAGGCCATAAAGAGACTTCTGAAGTTTACGCACTAGGTTTTTCTTTACCTTTTTTACAAAGCCCTTAGTTGTTTTCTACAAAAAAAAAATTCTAGCTCCCCATTTAGAATGTAATCTTAACATCCATCTAGTGGAGATCACAGTTGAAGTGGGCTACTATGCTATTAGGATCCTAATTGAGGGGAACTTAGTAGCAGGGGAGGTCTCATCGTAGTCTATTGACTATTCCTTCTTTCTGGGTAAACTTCCAACTACTAATCTAATGTTTTATTTTTTAATTTCCCTTCTAAGTTCAATTTCTTCCTATAGATCCACTTGCAGCATATGGTTTTCTACCAAGGAGATAGGTTTACTACGTCCCAAATTTGATTTTGTTTAATTGAGTTAACTTCATAGATCATGGCTTCCTCCCACTATGCCTTTTCATGACAGCCTACGGCCTCTTGACAGGCGTGAGGTTCATGTATGGATTCTTCTTCAATCCTTTCACAAAATTTTCCTAATTAGGTCAAGAATTCAGGTTTTCTGCTCATTCGGTTACTTCTTCTACGACGAGGCGGTTTGGGATCCTGAGCCTAACTTGTGCCACTTGTAAAGATCGGCATGTTAAGGAGTGGCACGACCCTCAAGGAAGTTTTCCTCAAGGAAATGCGCATCTATGCTCTCATGGACAGCCCTTGTGTCACAATAGAAAAACTGATCCCCTTACCATGTGGTGGGCATCCTATGAAGATGGTATTAACAGTTTTATGTTTTAGTTTAGTCCTATTTTAATATGATACTAGGACATGGGCAGAGCATCCCCAAAATCTTAAGTAATCAAGGGATGGAGCACGACCAGTGAAAATCAAATGAGGAGTTGGTGGGGTTACCTTTATAGGAGTTCAAAGAAGAATGTAATTGGCCATCAAGACTGCCTCTCCCATAAATCTAGGGAGAGTTTAGTATGACCCATCATACTCATCACCATTCCCACCAAGGCCATGTTCTGTCTCTAAGCTACCACATTTTGTTAAGGGGTATACGGCATAATAAATTGATGTATGATACCATGCTTCATACAAAATTATTTAAATAATTGTAAGGACCACTCTCCACCCCTATTGGTTTGAAGTACTTGACCAAAACAGGAGTGGTCATCAATGAAAGTGATAAAGTACCTCTTGCAGCCTTTAGTAGTCACAATCATAGGTTCACAAATATCCCCATGGACAACTTCTAAAATACCAGTAACTCTTTGAGCTTTTGCAGAGGATTTTTTAACCAGCTTTCCTTGAACACATGATTCACAAACTCTGGTTAAGTCTCCATTGAATTTTTTATTTTTTTTTTAAACGTATCTCCATTCAAATTTTTCAATAATCCTTCTCTCTTTAATCTTTTTATTCTTTTATAATTTATGTGCCTCAAATTCATATGCCATATGTATACATCATCATCATCATTATAACACGAGACATAAGAAATGAAATTCTTTATTGCAACTATAAAGCAACCGTCTACAAGAAGACCCTTCATGACAAGTTCAATTCCAAGATTCACCTCCATCTTATTACTAGTAAAAAAGGTGGAGTATCCAGCCTTAGCCTATCTAGAGATAGAAACCAAGCTCTTCGTCATAGTAGGAGCATAAAGAATTTGTTTTAGGACCATGCTCTTGCCATTTTCCAGCTGAAGCATATAATCTCCAACACCCAAGATCTCAATTGTCAGGTTCCCACCCATAAATATATGGTGACCCCTAGGGGCAACAGGTTTCAAAGTTATGAAGCGCTAGACACATGTGCAGTGGACCTCGAGTAAAAACTCGAAACTCGAAACACCATGACCCTTACTTAAGGTCTGCTAGCGTAGCCTCAAGGACTACACAAGCATGCACCCTATCACCTTTGCAATTCGCATGCTTAGGTGCTCTAGAGTATTTCGCAATGTGCCCATATTTCTTGCAATTATAGCACTGAATATTCTTTAAATCCCTCTT